TTAGAGAGTGTGATCACATTTAGGTTTGATAGCCGTACTATTAAGAGGGGTGAAACTCGTATCGGAATACGGTTATCAAAGTGCCACTAGATGCTCTAACTCATTGCATATGCATTTAGGATCTAGTGGAGTGCTAACACCCTTGATAATATTTGTGAAAATATGCTAACACATGTGCACAAGGTGTTTGCAGGGTTGAGATGGGTTTGGGTCCCTCTCTCCCTCCCGCCGAGCTTGCGAGGCGGGATTCGGCGCTTTTGGAAAAATGAAATGTCTATTTTCTATTGCGCCAGATGCAAAATTCTTGGTGGTTGGCACACTTGAGCAAGGGTGAAGAAGTAAGAGTTGATCGAAATGATGCTGGCGTCGGTCCTGTGACCGGACGCTGAATCCGTAGCACGGACGCCACTGCGTCCGGTCCCGGTCTGCACCGAGCGATGGTATGTGGTTAGGGTTGAGCACCGACGACCGCTGCGTCCGGTCAAGGTGGACCGGACGTGTCCGATCAAAAAACATGCCTCGGGAGCTTATTGAAACGACCGGATATTTGGGGCTTCAGCGTCCGGTCGGTTCAAGGAGCAGCGTCCGGTCGAGGTGATGACCGTTGAGTCTGGACACGTGGCTGGCATCGAGCGACCGGACGCTGAGAGCCAGCGTCCGGTCAGTCTGACCGGAGCGTCCGGTCAGAACGCGTTTTGCCCAGTGAAGGGGTATAACGGCTCTATTTGATGGGGGTTCTATTTATAGCCCCATGGCCGGCTCAAGGGACAACTCTTGCACATTTTCATTGACATAGCAAGCTTGTGAGCCTAGCCAAAGGACTCCCACTCATCTACATCATTAATTCATCATCATAGTGAGATTGGGAGTGATCCAAGTGCATTGCTTGAGTGATTGCATCTAGAGGCACTTGGTGATTGTGTTTCGCATGGATTTCTCTTGTTACTCTTGGTGGTTGCCGCCACCTAGACGGCTTGGAGCAGCAAGGATCGTTGAGTGGAGGAGGTGATTGTCTCCGACTCGATCGTGGTGATTGTGAGGGTTCTTGACCTTTCCCGGCGGAGCGCCAAAAGGTACTCTAGTAAATTGCTTGTGGCTTGTGTGATCCTCATCTTGTGTTGGTTGTGCGGCACCCTATTGAGGGTTTGGCGAGTGATGCCAATTAGCGCGTGAACCTCCAAGTGAGTGAATCGCCACTAACGAGGACTAGCTTGCTTAGGCAAGCAAGTGAACCTCGGTAAAAATCATTGTGTTCATCATTTGATTCCGAGGTGATTGGTCATCATTGTTATTCATCTTCGTGATTGATTGGTTCATTCATCTACACGGCGGTATAACCCTCTTGATCACTCTCTTTACTTTACCGCAAACTAGTTGACAAGCTCTTTAGTGTAGCTAGTTGTGAGAGCTTGCATGCTTGATTGGTGTGGCTCTTTACTTAGCCTTTGAGAGCACACTAACATAGGGTAGTGTCATTGCTCTTGTGTGAATTGACACTATCTAAACTAGAATTGTGGTAGGTGGCTTGCATTTTTGAGTAGGCTAGCGCAACACTCGCTTCGCCTCATAATTGTCTAACCATTTGGTTAAGTGTTGTTGTAGAAATTTTTATTAGGCTATTCACCCCCCTCTAGCCATTAGGACCTTTCAGTGCCTTCCTCTACTCCGGCGGCGACGTCCTTCTCCGCGCCTCTCCTTCTCCTCTCGTCCCTCGGCTTAGTGTGCTGGTGCGAACCGCACAACGGCAGTGAGGTGAATGGAGGGCTAGGGCTCGGGGTCCTCCTTTTATAGGCCGAGCTCCATGCTCATCCATGGCGGATGGCGGAACGGCTGGTGATGCACCGAGCGCATCGGGCGGCTCTCGCGTGCGGGGACGGTTGCATGGGCGCGGCGCTAAGGTGGGAGACAGCGTCATGTGATGTCCGTGACCCTAGGCCCGCGCCTGCTCCACGGTCAGCTCCCGGTCACGTGGTGGAGGGAGCGTGGGGAAGACGACGACGCTGTAGCTGGGCGGCTGACAGAGGGGGCCCATTTGTCTGCTTGTCCTGATGCGGCGGCATGCGGTGCGTGACGGCTGACGGGCGGGTCTGGCTCATCAGCGGCTTGTGCGCGCGCAGGTGGTAGGGTGTTGCTAGGCTGGCTTTGTGGGCCGCGTGCACGAGTGGAAGGGCAGGTGGGCGCGAGTTGGGCCGAACAGGCTGGCTCGCAAGGCCGAGCAGACCTGGGCTGCTGTGGCTCCCTCCTTTTCCTTTTCTTTTTCTGTTTGTTTCTCTTTTCTTTTTTTTACTTCGATTCAAATTTAGTTAGAGTTTAAACTTGAGCTTCGAGTCATGTAGTGGGTCCCATAAGGTGTTTCAAATGGTGGTCAAAATACATCCCATATATTAGGGATTATTGGCTATTTTTGTTATGCAAAAATAGTTGAAGTTCTTATATAGGGGTGTTTTATTCTTCCAACAAATAATTCATTATTTAGGGTTTATCATAAATAATAAGTAAGTTAGTTAAACATCACATAAGGCAAAAGAATCTAAATCATAAGTGGAATTAAGGATGCATGCATTATTTATTTATTTAAGAATTTAAATACACATGTGGCATAAAACCAAACTATGCTTATGATTTTAACCTAGTTGGGTCACATCTAATCCAAAACTAGGGTTTGGCTTCTACATGTGTCACTCAGCATCACATAGGGTTTTGAAGAAAACACTTTGTAGTTGGGATTTTTGGTATGTGGATTTTTGGGTTGTTACAGTGAACCTGCTCCTACACCTTATGACCCTAGTGTGCTATTGAGGAAAAATCAGAGAATAGTAAGGGACCAATTGAGATATTTCTAGATCATTAGTTCACTCATGTATCTTGCTAGTGCAACAAGGCCTGATATCTCATTTGTTGTATGCAAGCTGAACCAGTTTGTGTCAAACTCGGGAGATGATCACTGGCGTGCTCTTGAGAGAGTGATGCGCTATGTAAAAGGAACTATGAGATATGATATTCGTTATACTGGACACCCAAAGGTGCTGGAAGGCTATTGTGATGCCAACTGAATCTCTTATGCTAATGAGCTTTATGCCACAAGTGGATATGTGTTTTCGCTTGGAGGTGGTGCTGTTTCCTATAAGTCTTGCAAGCAGACTATCTTAACGAAATCTACAATGGAAGCAGAACTCATAGCATTAGACACCGCTGGCTCTGAGGCCGAGTGGCTTCGTGATCTCCTTATGGATTTACCGGTTGTTGAAAAACCCATACCGGCTATTTCTATGAATTGCGATAACCAAACTATGAATACGAAGGTTAACAGTTCTTAGGATAACATGAAGTCCACAAGGCATGTTAAGAGACGACTAAAATCTGTCAGAAAATTGAGAAACTCTGGAGTAATAGCGTTGGACTATATTCACATGTCTAACAATTTGGTAGATCAATTCACTAAGGGTCTGTCACGCAATGTGATAGAAAGTGCATCGAGAGAGATGGGTTTGAGACCCACATGAAATTTACTATAGCGGTAGCCTGTTCTATGTGATCGAAGATCCCGTGAAGTAGGATGGTGAAACAAGCTAGTAGTAAATTATGAGGAAAGATCCTTAGTAAGACTCATTTCTGATGCATATCTTTCCTTTCTGTAAGGTATGTTGGTTTTTACCTTAATGTGTTCCAAGTGGCTTGCTAAAGTAAAGATGTTGTCCTATAGAACATCTTTTGAGGAACACACCTATTTGAGTCAGACTGCTGATCACAGTATGTGAGATTTGGGTGATCTCTAAATACTCATGAAAGGCACTAGAGTATGACTTATATGCTTCAAATAGAGGGGATGCATTTTGCAGCCTAGTATCAACTAAGGACTTTAGTGGCATTCACCTCGTACAAAACTATCGATTTAAGGCTTAGTCCATTGTTCAGTTGTGACTGAGTGAAACTATTGCTCTAGATGGATGTTCAACTTAACAGTCTCCATTGAAACACTAGTATATAAAAGAAATGTGGTCCATATAATGTTTAATAAATCAAATAAAACTCTATGGTCCGTAAGATTAAGCGTTGTATGGTTTAATACCGTACGGGAATTTGACTAAACGTTGACTCCACTTATTTAGTTATAAATTATCCATCTTAATTGAGAAGCTGAGAAAAAGAACACAGAAGTGCCACAAGCGCGCGCGCACCGCCGCCGCTGGCCGGGTTGGGCCGGGCCGAGGCCGTGGGCGTGGCAGGCAGGCAGGCGGCGAGCCAACGGACGGCGGGCGTGGCCAGGTTTTGCCACTTAATCCACATAATTACATGAGTTTCTCTCTTTTATGGTGGAGGCGAGTTGATTGCGCCAGTTACCGTCTCCTGAGTTCCTCGGCTGGCTTTCTCCCTCCCCGCCACAGGCATAAAAGTAGAAGTCCTCCATCAGTTCAATCTTCCCTTCGCTTCAGAGAGACCCCATCTCAACCGTCCTTTGGTTTTCCCCGTCCCGTACCTCTGCGCGCACGGAGCAGCGGGAGAGCAGGTGCCTCCGAAACCCTCGTCCGTCTGCGAACCTTGCACGGGGTGTGCGGCGATTAGGTTTCCGCGACTGCTCGTCCACGTCGCAGACGTCTTCTTCCTAGTGATCGCTCGTGGAACAGTAATGTGTCTTTTTCCTGGTGACCGTTCGTGGGACTGCACTGCGAACACCTTCCTGCATCGACTGTGGTCCACGACTTCTAGCAACGCACTATGTCTGGTGCGAATGGAGCCTCCGATGCCCTCGGCATGGGATCCTCCGCTGGGTACACTCTTAACTCTCTGATTACATTACTTTGCGTACTTCCTGTATCGATTGGTATGTCATACTTGCATACTGTAGCGTTTGTTAGTGATATACACATACACATATATGTCGTCACGAATCTACTGATGTTTTATTTCTGGATTGAATTGATGATAAAAATACCTAATTTTCTAACAGCCGCGTGCTCCTCCTGGAGCTTAGCGACTACGGACGCGCGCTCTGCCTTCACCTCCTCGCCAGGCGCGGTGCATGCCTCGTGATCGTGATACTCATCCGCGAGTCGGCGGACCTCGGCCGCGTGGTGAGCATTTGCGACGCTCAACGCCTCCTTGAGCTGAGCGACGTGGTCCGCGTGCTTGTTTCTCACGGCGCGCACCTGCTCCTTGAGGTGGGCGACCTCCCCTCTGGTCGCCTGCCGCTCCTTTCCCTTTTCATCAAGCTCTGTCATGGCCTTCTTCGCCAACTCTGACGCCTCCGCGACGCAATCGACCAGTCCCCGCGTGTGCGTGTCGGAAAAGGATTTGCGCTTCCTCGTTAGTTCCTGCTGCTGCGGCGCCGGCGGTCCTGTATCCTGTACGTACGTAGTGTGGAGGTGAAATTACTAGAATATCTTTTGTTTTTTAATATAACTAAAAATTACTTAAAATATATAGGTACCAGTCCCGCATGTTTTGGTACTGATCCCGCGTGTTTTGGTACTCCCTCCGTCTCAAAATAAGTGACGTTTTTTTACTTTTACACTTCTTATTTGACTATTCGTCCTATTCAATTTTTTGTATTAATAATAAAATAAATAAGTCGGTATCAAAGAATCTCTAATGATAGAATAAGTCATAACAAAATAAATAGTATTTATATAAATTTTTTGAATAAGACGAACAGTCAAATAAGAAGTCTAGAAGTCAAAAATATCACTTATTTTGAGATAGAGGGAGTACTTCCAAGTACTTTTTGGTATTTTTTTGTCTTGATACTTCGTATTTTTCCACCGTCCTATCTGAACTCATGGACGGTGCACGTATTTTCCAACCACCCTAAAACTTGTAAAAGTAATAATGAATCCTACGGGATGGTTGAGTAGTTGCACATAGACATTAATGTGGTATACACAGCCTATTTCCATGTATTTCAAAATGAATAAGTATCTAAATTCAAGTTGTCTGAGTTTTTTCTTCAAAATCGATAGCCTCAATCAACCGTATAAGAAAATAAAGTTGCATATGGAGTGCACTAAGTAATCATCAATAAAAACACAGCAATGAATAATCAGACAAAAGTAGATTCCCAACTTCATTAATAATCAAATGGAAAACAGGTGACGTTGTTACTGGTACCAGCGCTCCCCCTCCCCCTATTCTGGCAACTTTTGCTTACCGAATCTTCTTAATGACAAATTTTGGTAGCCAACCAAGCAGTCCCTAAATTATTCCATTTATTAGTCATATACCCCACTAAAGCACGTTCTTTTTCTATGCTAAGCCTACCAATAAAAACCTTCTTCGCTGAGATAACCCTCCTCCACGCACCCCACAAAGTGTACCAGGAAAATAACTCTCTACAAATTGAACCATCTAAATTGCTTCTCAATATTCTCTCTCCTTCATCACTCACGTCTAGCGGTTGAGATCGCGTATGGTACTCCTCCATCTCCCACGCCCGCACCGCAGCAACGCGAAGGCTCGGCCCGGGTTCGATTCCATCCCGCGCCCCATTTTGTTCTGTTCGAGAAAAAAAGAAACGACGGGTGAGATCGGGCGGGTGGGGAAACGACGTCCACACACGGAGGAGTAGGGCACGGTAGGGGCGATGACACCCCGACGCTCGGCGCGATCGAGGGTGCGGCAGTTGCCGACTCCTCTCCCCCATGCCCCACGTGCTGACTCCTTCTCTCCCCGATGCACCATGCGCCGACGGCCACCTCTTCCAGATCGGCATCGCGACACCGCACGAGAGGAGGCTGCCGATTGCGGATGTTGGGTCACCGACCGCAGGGGTTAGGAAGCCGTGCATGGCCATGGCGTGGAGTTGTCAGCCGCCGGACTCCACTTCCGATCTGTAAGATATCACTGCCTCTCTCTCTCCCTCATCCCTGGTTAATCCGATTTGGTGGAGCCCTAGGGTTTGGCTGCCCCGATTTGCGTTGTTTTGTTTCGGTGCTCTAGTGGTGGATTCGTTTGGTAACTAGAAAAGCCGTGCCTCTCTTGGAGCCCCCATACTTTCGACAACTGCGGTATTTTTATTTTTCTCATTTGTTTGAAGTCGAATTAAAAGCCACAACTTAGCCGAATTACATTGCAGACACTATGTTTGACTGACATAATAAATCACATAGGACTAAACCTTTGTGCATTGGAAATAGGCATTTGGGACTGACATAACAAATTTCAGAGATTGTTTTCTAAAAGAACTACCTGACGGACGTCTTGGACAGGAAGAAGTCACGAAATCTCTTTTTGTCAAGGAGGCCGGCAATGACAATTCCGTCTTCGCACTGGACCGCCTGACTGACACCATGGAAAAGCTGCAGCTCTTCTACAACGACGATGTGCTCCACAAGGCTCCTCAAGGTTGTTAAGATATGCTTTTCAAAACCTGAAGTTAGTCGCTAGCTTTGGATTACAGCTATTCCAACAACCTTAAACGCAGTGATTAACATTTCCTTTTACCTAAATATTCACCGCATCTTTGTCCATTCTTGAGTGTTTTCCCTCTTAATTAATTGGTACTTGCTGTCTGATACACAGTCTTATTTGAGCATACACAGGCCTCCTAAAATGATTCGCTTTTGGGCTGTGGCTGGCTGCACAAGAAGTCCCTAGGAAATGGAATGGACATGCAGTCAGTATTCCTTTCTCTTCTCTATGTGCAAGATGGTAACAGTGAAAGTGCTAGGACTTGGGATGATGTTTCTGAAATGCGAACAAGTGATCTAGATGATTGGGTACTTTTGCCATTTTGATCTGTGAAATCAAATGAAAATTCAGGAAACTGATCCATAGACTGTAATCGTGCCATTTTGAAATTCTCTTTGTTTTAAATGAGCTCATTTAAGGTTGAAATAAAGTTCAAGATGCACTTGTATATATTCAGGTCATGATTCAATGCTTTAGAAAATTTAATCTTTGTGTATGACACTATAATTATATTGTAACCCTTTTTAAAGGCAATTCATGTCGACTTTTTGAATTTTTATTGGTTGCTATCCTACTACAAGTTGTTTGCGATGCTTCATTTTTTGTATGCATATTTTAATGCAAGAAAAACAGTAGTTATTCTTCCATTGCATATGAAATATTAGACATGTGCGTGTCGCACGTGCATGTCTACTTCAAATTTTATAGAATTAACTTTGAATTTAATGTGGCCCCGTAGTGTTAGCATGGGCAATATACTATTTCCTTAGCTCGCATAAACTTGTTTTTGTCCTGACAAGAGTTATTTTACTAAGTTCTCATGCTACAAATCATGTTTCTCATCAGGAAACATAGGAATGCTCGCTATGGTCAACACCACAGATGCATTGTGCTGAGCAACTTGAGGGAGTATTCACCGAAAGTTGTCATCATCAAGTTTCATCAACAGTGGGCCAGTGGCAAGGCGCTCATTGACATCTTCACTATCAAATTTGGAATAAGAGGAAGCGTAGAGCTGTTCATAAGATTATATCATGTGTATATATAAATTTTGGATTAATGTGTATATATAAATTTCAAGTTTCGCCAACAGTGCCAAGCCTGACTTTTTGATTAATGTGTATATATAAAATTAAAGTTTTCATGTGCAGCCCTGAAATGACACCGTGGCGTTAGCACATGTACTATACTAGTTTGTTATAGTCCTCCCTCCTATTCTGGCTTTGTACCCGCAACAAACTATTCACTTTATCTAGTAATCTATTCTCTATGAAACATGTGATAAATTGTATATATTGCTATACAATATTTGATCAAAGTGTGAACATATATACATGCACGCACTGACCAACCAATACCATGGGTATATGTTTTTATGTCAATGACAAAATTAACTTCTAAGAAGCAGACCAAGGTAAGAAATGTCTAGGCATATCTCCTTAAAAAACATAAAATGCAAGAAAAAGGCTAGAATTACCAGCAGTGACATTGGTGTTTGCCTCTTCTTTATCAAAGTCCAACTCTATGATATCATCGCAATCAATAGAGTCCATCTCTATGATATCATTAGAATCAATAGGACGGCTGATTGTCCCAATCTTGCGATCCTTGGCCACCAATTTTGATTTGGAATGGCATCTTGTTCGACTTGCCACTCCCTTGTTCTCTGTGTGCACTATATCTTTGAGAATGGACAATCATTCGAACTTTCGCTTCTTGGGTGGGCTTTTATCTCCAGCCATAACATGAGATAAAGGCTGAGCATGTTCTTGCTCTATCGCTTCGAATTTCTTGTCATTTGTTTCCTTATTAACATCTTGACTACCATCCATGATTGTCTGCACCTCGCCTATGGAAATATCACTTAAAGCATTTTGTTGCTCTATCGCTTTGGAATTCTCGTTGTTTCTTTGTTCATTGCCAACCTGATTACCAACCTTGGTAGTTTGCGCCTCACCCATATCACTTAATTTCTCTGACATACTTCTTTGCGACAAATAGCACTTATGGTGGTAGTGTTGAATGAGGTGATATGGGATATTGGTTCAAAGAAGTATGTCAAGAAATGTAGGGAATTTATAAGAACCATAGAACGATTATGACCGTTGGTGGCTTTGTGACCGTTGGAGTTGGTGGCTTTTGTGACTGTTGGTAGATTTGTGACCGTTGCGACCACTTTTAAAACAAAAACTAATAAAACTTCTAGATAGGTGATGAGCTGTCGTTTGTTGTCTGAAATTTAATTTAGAGAGTATTGCTATTGCTACAAAATAAATATAAGGTGGTTTTGAATGGCTAGAAATACAATAAATCGAAAAAATTATATATCGGATATTTTTCATTAACTATGAACACACAATTGGAATGGTCAAAAACTAAAAATAAAATGTCATCCTCATTCCACCTTCTAAAGACAGAATTACGTGCTTTGGCTCTCCTATTCCTAACAATTAGGAGCTTTGGTGCTGTACTCCCAAATAATTGTGAACCGTTCATTTAATTAGATTGATTGGTTATGATTACATGTTACCTCATAGAATGTAATAGTTGAAATACATATTTGTTTATTTTTTATTTTGTAAAATAAGCTAAATATATAAGAAAACTTTTTAGATTAAAAAAATCTTTCGTCAGATCTAATTGATGGCTAAAGAATATATGTGCATGTACCGACTATATTTTTATTTTTAGAAAAAGGCATGTACCGATTGCTAGCTTGAGGAGGATGGTCACGAAACACATATGCATTAAGTTAAAACTTTAGCTTAAGTTATGGTGGCTTTGGTTGAAACCCATGTCTCGTGATGTCATGGTTCTAAACTTTGACCATTAATCTTATTAATTGTTGTACATTCTTATTATCGGCACATTATGTTCAAACTCTTCTGCTTTATATACTTATTATTCATAGCTATCCCTTTGAATTCTATAGGAAATAAAGATATTAGATTCTAGACTACACTGCAAAGAATTTTTTAAAACGAGGAAGAAGTCCATGTCCATCATTGATCTATTGAATTTTAGAATGCTTATTACTAGGAGTATTATAATATATGGGGATGTGTCACAATGTTTCGGTCAAAATTGATAAAATTGTCTAAAGTAATAGCTTGAATTAATTATTTTCAAGGATATTAATAACTTTAAACAAATTGTTAGAATCATTGGTGTATGATTCATTTTAAGAAAATGTCCTTTTGTGATTGCTAAGACATACAAATATATCTTTGTATCGCTTGATTTGTATATATGATGGCATAACATGCATGTTTACTTTAAGTTAGTTCGTTATATAATAATAATAACATAAGTAAATAATTTGATACATATTTTCATAATTGAAGTTTATTTAATTTTTTCTATAATATCATATGTTGGTAATTTAGATGTGATATTTTAGTATATTTTATTAATATTTATTAGATGCAAATGTAAGGGTTGCTTTTTTTTAGAATTAGACAGTACAACGTAGACGCCCACAACACGCATGCACACTCATCCCTATGAACACACGTACGTAAACCCTACTCCTATGAGCACCTTCGATGATGAGGGTATCATGGGCTTAGATATCAATATATTAACCACTTCTAAACCAAAGGTGCAACTATTTTATATGAAGTTTATATTTGGTAGATTTTATGGATTGATGTTGCACCATGAAGTCTGTATATTTTTCTTTTTAAATTACTTACATGGATTAAAGGAAGATTTGATTGCATATGGAAAGCATGAAAGATTAATGAAGTTGATTGGAGACAAGTCTAAGTATTCCTAATGTCTTACACCAGGCCACCATATTACTTTTGGCCCAAGGAAAGAAATAATCCAAATCCAATATATGTTTTGGCAGTTGGATTCAAATTGCAGAACAACCCCAACTTGCGACGGCCATCATGAATTCACATGGACTCCAATGAAACGTTCTAGCACTAAATGGAAAGTTTATGAAATCTATTTTCCAATGGATCTAGACTCCTGCCTATATCTTAGTAGAGTCAGACACAATTGTCATTTTAGTGTCGATGTCGTTTTGGCCTACAGTGCTCAGGGATTAATATTTTCTCATGCAAGCTAAGTTGCTAACTGATGTAAGCTAATAAACAAATAAGCAAGCTAATACATCATGAAGGATACAGATTAGCCCATAGAGCAGCCTTGACAGCTGGAGTAGGTCCAATGTGGTTAGCACAGAGAGACAGTTATACTAGAACTGGTAGAGATCCCTGAAAGAATTGAGACTAGACGATTTACTCATGGATTTGTCAGGCTTGTGACTCTAAAAACAGTGAGATGCATTATCAAGGGTTAACATTTGGTCATATGTTTGTGCTGCATCAATGGTCAGTGCGATCATCATGTTTGACGTCACCTCAAGGCTCACCTACAAGAATGTTCCCACCTGGCACAGGGACATCAGCTGGTAAAAATTAATTTTGTCTTTTGAATTGCGCACATGCCTCTTGTTTTGGTGTCCTGAATTGATGGTACATCTTTTATTGTGCATATTAGGGTGTGTGAGAACATCCTGGTTGTCCTGTGCGGCAACAAGGTGAATGTGAAGAACCGGCAGGTGAAAGCCAAGTCGGTGACTTACCACAGGAAGGAGTACTACTTTGAGAAGCCTTTTCTCTACCTTGCAAGGAAGATCGCAGGGTGGGTATTGTCATCATTCTGTAGCAAATCAACATTGTACCACTCCTATACATCTACCCGACTCTCTCTTTATTGCAATGCATATGCTATAGCAACACCAAACGAATGGTAATCTGATGCATGACTGTAAATGCAGGAACATGGACCTCAAGTTCGTCGAAGAGATAGCCCTCGTCCCTGCTGACGTGACCATCGACGTTGCTGCGCAACAAAAGTTAAGTCATTATTAAAGCAAACATGTACCTGACGAGTGACGACGACAACGATTTACCATGCTTCATATGCATTGTTTATGATAACGCTGAGTGCTTCTCTGATCACGTAATGTTTTTCATGGCATGCAGGATTGACAAAGAGATCGAACTTGCTGCAGCGATTCCCCTGCCGGATGGGTACGATGATAACATGTAGTTCTAGCTTAGTGCGTCAATGGTTTAAAGAGTGACACATGCATCTATCTCTTTTGGAATTTCAGTTGTAGCGTCAGTAGTTGGTTAGTAGCTATCGAACTTGGATGAGTTGTTGGCTGCTGCTTGAGGAATCTGATGGAATGCAAATAGGAATGATAAGTTCGTTTATGGTGTATTATTGTTATGACTCACGGATTAAAACTTTAATATACCTAGCATTTAATACGAGGCTTAGGATTTATTTGATTTTAATTGGATAAAAAATGGGTCAAGTCCAATTAATATGTAATAATTTGTTCATCTCATAACCTTTGTGGGTCAAACATTGCAACTAATGTATTCATTAAATGGTAAACCAAAAAAATTAAATACAAAGTTCTTTTAAACCAATATGAATCACTCATGCTAGATACTCCCTCCATCCCAAAATAAATAACTTTCTAACGTTTAAAATTTGTCCCAAAATAAATAACATTCTACACAAATATGGAACATTGCCTTCTAATACAGAAGCTAATCCTGGATACATGCAAACGACAACTGCCAAATCTAAGAGATATCCTTTGAGAAGGAAAGAAAATGAGGGTACATGTGTCTTTTGCCAACGTCTTTAATCTGCTTGAAATTTTTTAGAAACTTACCTATTATGGGACTGAGGGAGTATGTCAAAACATCTAACATGCAACCTCCTAAGGGTAGAAGTGGTCATTTCCACCAAAACCTTTATTTCTTGAGTCTAGAGATGACATTCAAGCAAAAGAGGTGTATCGGCTCTATGATAGAAGGCCAACTTCAGAGTGGAGCTACTCTATGATGGAGTTACTTGTTCTAGTTTCATGTTTTCAAAGCTGGAGCTCTCCCAAACAAATCTTATGTCACTACATGATGTAGGTTTTTTCTCCACATGGAGGTACAAGAAGATGAAGATGGCCAAATGGGTGGCATGACCCAACACGGTACTAGTTCATTCAGGCACGACGCTAAGGAGCTGTCGATGTTTTACCACCGATAGCCTACCACGGGGGTACCGTGGCAGTATCGTTCGGGTCTCGGCGTATGCTGAACTCGATGGTGAACGCAAGAGACAGTCGATTTATCCTGGTTCAGGCCCTCGATCGTAGATCGAGTAACGACCCTACGTCCAGTCGGCGTTTGCCTTTTGCGTTGGATTGATTATGAAGTGTTATGTCGTACCAATTTTCCCCTTCTTCAGGAGCCCTGGCCTCCTTTATATATTCAGGAGGCCGGAGTCCTAATCGGTTTACAATGAGATTTCCTAGTAGGATTACTTAATAGTTCTATTACTAAGATTACATGGGAAGAACCCTAGTTGAACTAGATCTTCTCTCTCTCTTGCAGGGGTATCCTGTGGGTCCCCAGATCGACAAGCCCCCCGAGCACTTCATGGTTGAGCTCGAAAGTCTCGCTTTGCTCCTTCAAGTCTTGTTAGGTTGGAACAAAATGTTATCCGAGTGCTTTCTAGAGTGAAACCTTGTAGCGCTTCTTGGGACCCTCGAGTGGTGAGTGTTTTGTGAAGAAAAAGTACATCCATCTGGTTGTAGCCCCCGAGCCTCTTGCTATTTGGAACAAGGAGCTGGAGGATCTTGTCTTGAAGTTGCTCTGATTGTTCGTTGAAGTTTTATCAAAAAGAACTCGAATATGGCTCGTTCCGGGTTCTTTTTGTCATAATGTCTTGAAGTAGTCTCGTTGAGGAAGTCTTTTTTGATGGCGTGCGCTTTTTCGGAGAAAAAGTGCACTCACTAAGTGTAGCCCCCGAGCCTCTTGCTATTTGGAACAAAAAGTTGGAGGGTCTTGATCCTTTATGTTTGTTTGAAAATCCGTGCTCAAGTAATCCACGAGATTTGAATCTTGTCCTCATCCGAGTAGTTTTGTGGTATCTTTCCAAGCGGTTCTTTAGTCCTGGATTAAGCCATCATCCGAGTAGTTTCGTGGTATCTTTCCAAGCGGTCCCTTAGTATTGGATTAAACCATCATCCGAGTAGTTTCGTGGTGTGCGACCTCCGAGCCTATGTCCGGGTTCTTTTTGGGTGGGTGCAATTTTTATAAAATTGCACTCTTTGAGTGTAGCCCCGAGCCTCTTGCTTTTGCTTGCAAAAGTTGGAGGTCCGATTCCTATCTTCAAAAAAATTGCAGGGCTATGTATCCCATAGTCTCGTGCTTTCTCCGAGTTCTTTTCTTTTGAAAAAGAAGTCGGTTGAAAAGTCTTGATGCGTTGTCGTCGTTGTAGTCTTGAGTTTCTTGTACTTTTTGTCTTTTGTCTTTGGTTACGAGTCCACAGGAGTAGTTGAAATGAGTGCCGGATTCCACGGCTTAGTGTTGATTAATCTGTGATGCTAGCCGAGCCCCGGCGTATACCCGTCTTTGTTTTGTTCGGGAAGAACTCGGATGCGAGGTCTTGGCGTATTCTTTGATAGTCTGCTGTCTTTGTCATATGTAGTTGTATGGTGGTGGTTGAGTGTAAATGCTTTTTGTTCACGGGTTGTCTTGTGATGGTATATCCTTCCGAATATGCTCGTCTTGATAATCGCTTTCCTCTACTTTGAGTCGTCCATTATTGAGTCCTGTCCTTTCACTGTGTTCTTTGTCAGGCTTATTTCATCGGTGCTCCTGGTCCATGTGCGCCGCTCCTTGATAGGATTAACATGCTGAAGCAGCAGGGTTTGACCGGCTTTGGTATCGTCTCGAGTTTTCTTCGTCGCCGGGTTCAGCCTTTGAAGGAGCGGGAACATCTCGGCTTTGAGTATTCTGGGGCCGAGGATCCTTCACGCATGGTCCCAGCTCTTGAGCTGACCGGTGAGGAGGTACTCGAGCGTCTTCAGAAGATGCTGAAAGGGGTGAGCGTTATTCCCCCAGCTGTCACCGAGTTCTCAGCCAACAACCCGCCCCCAGCTGTGAGTTGTCTATCTTTTTGTTTGAGTACTTTATGCACTCTAGCTGTGTTTGCTCTTGCTTAGCTTTCCTTTGACTCGGTGTTTTATCCGTTTTCGCAGGAGTTTGGGCGGAACTTTGTCGACCCGGTCTCTCCTGACGCTTTCCCTGTCGTGGCGGAGACTGAAGGTAGACTCGCTGGGACTTCTGCAATTAGTAAGTCCCAAACCACTACCGCTCTTCCTAGGGTTTCTTCCGGATTTGTTGATGTATATGAAGAATATGTTCCTCGTATAGTCCCTCGCGGTCTGGCGGTGTCGAAAGAGGGCGCGAACGGATGGGTCATCACGGCGCTGTCTGTCTCCAAGAAGCCTCGCATAAACCAAGTACTTTCTCGGTACTCCGATTGTTGCTAGCATGCTCTTAGGTGAGCTCATTTAATGCTCTTTGTTCTTTTATTTTCTTGTCTCTCTCATGATCCGATTACTTTTCATTTTTTCAAAGAAGTGCTCTGGTTTCTTTGGTAGTGAGGATGAAGAAGATGATGAAGTACCCCTCATCACGCAGCGTCGGTGAGTCGTCTTTTTCATATTCTGTTGCATTGAATTTCTCTTCTTGATCTTGATCTTTAGTATTGATTTTTTTTTTGAAGTAATCGGAGGCCGGAGCGGGTTCTTCCGAGGCTCCCGTTTCGACTTCTTCTGAAACTCCGGTATCGAGTTCTTTGGAAGCTCCGATACCGAGTTCTACCGCTCCTTCAGTACGGAGCTCTTCCACGTCTCCAGCTCCGGCTCCTTCTGCGGCTCCAGCTCCGGCTCCTTCCGCGGCTCCGTTGCCAGCCATTCCGCTCTCGTCGCCGGGTGGCAGGGACGTTTTTACCGTCCTGGTTCCCCCTGCGAAGCCTTCTCTTAACCGCAAAGAAGAGAGTGGTCGGGTGAGTAGATTCCACTTTAACTTTTGACCTTTATTTTCCTTCCTCTGGTTCTTATCGGCGCTCCTTTTTATCATTATTCAGTGTTTCGTCTTCTCTTACTCCTTCCTCGACTTCTTCTCTGCCTCCCGCCGTGCCAACGAGTTCCGAGCCTCAGGACTCACAGCATTCTGTTGATGGAGTCGCTGTGGGGGCTTCAGGGCTACCTGGCGAAGTTGCGGTTTTGGCCACTCCGGAGGTGACCTGTGGCCGTCGCGCGGGGTCCTTCTGAGGGTTTAACTCCGGCTTCCCTGAAGGTTGCTTTGGTCGTTCCTTCTTCGCTCCATCCGGCTTCTCCTTCCCTACTCTTGCTTCCGGCGGTCCTTCTTTTTCCGATGACGTGGTGCAGCGATTCGATGCCACCCATCGATTATCGGAGCTGACCGCACACAGGGGAGCCTATCGACTTCTTTTGGTGAAAAACTTCAGGTAGGTTTTACTGCCGTTCCTTTTTTTGCATGCTCGTTTTTCCTCGTCCTTACGCTTTATTTTTCTTTGTCATTTTTTGGCGATCTTTCTCCCGTGATCATTCGGCTTCTTTTTCTCATCCGAAAATGAGAGAAAGTTGTCTTCTCGAGGTGAGTGTTCTAAAAGCCGATCTTGACCTTCTCCGGGCTGAGTTGGAGATGAACGTCAGATGCACCAAAAGGAGGAGAAAACCCTTCGTGTCCCAAGGGTAATGGAGTCGGAGACCGCATGGAGTCCGAGAAAAATGAATGCAAAGGTGCCGTGGGCTCTGCCAGTATCTTGTATTTTGATTTCTTTTTTCTTTCTTGACTTGTTCTTGGGTGTCTGTCTAGTTCTCCGAGCTGAGAAGTGAAGCTCTCGGAGGGCATCGATGAGATGAAGGCTCTAGTCCGTTCTAGTCATAACAAGGCTGAGGAGGTAATTACTCATCTGTGAAGAAGAACTTGCCCTTGCTAAGTGATTAAGCTGAGTGATAGAGATCTTGTGCAGCCCAAAGAACTATTGAAAGCTTGACCGAAGCTGGCGGCGACACTTTGAAAATTGGAATGTTTTGTGGAAATCTTTTCGTTCAAGAGCCGACATTCTTCGGACTCGGTGGACGACGATGGCAATCTTGGCGCAGATTCATTCCGCTGGATTCCGGTCGTTTCAAGAATTTTGAAGAAATGTGCCCA